GTGTATTTTGAAAGGTAAAAAGGTCAAATACATTTACAAATAAAATTTTGAATTTTAATAGTGTCTGAGAGACTCGTATTTTTAAAATTAAAATCCGATTCGTTTTTAAATTGTGTATATTTGCAGCTTCCAGCTGGATTGCCGGTTGTTCGGTCTGACCGAGGGACCGGTCTAGTGTAAGGAAGGTTTACGATCTATTAGAAAAAAAGTGAAAGCAGCGTCTCGGTAGCTCAGTTGGTAGAGCACCTGTACTACTTGATGAGCGAAAGGCCTAGTAATAACTGCCAGGAGGCTGCAGGATCGAAGCCTGCCCGGGAGCAGGCTTCGAAAACGCGGACCGACTTTTGCGGACCGAAACTTACGGACCCGACGAATTCCTCAAAACATAGCTCATTCGAAAGTGCTTGGTCGAATGACATCAAAATCATCGTGATTGTACAAGCTTGGACAAAGTTACGATGGAAAAACAAAAACCTAAACCTATGGTCCGCAAAAGTCGGTCTGCAAGTTTCGCACTACCGTCGGAATATGGTTGCCGTTTTCAAGTTAAGCCGACATTCGAGAACTTTTTTCAAGTTTGGGTAAAACCACCACAAGTTTGTAATGTGTGGTGCTTTTATTAGGAATCTGTAAATTTTCTAAATTTGCCTAAAGCCACGAAAGTGACCGGAATTTTTTATCTACTTGTCATGAGTCACTTCCTCCGCAATACATCAGATCCTTCATACCTCAAATTTGTTTGATCACTTGTACCAGTGATATTCTGAATAGGATACATTTCATTATAAGGTAGAGGACCTTTCAGCTTCCACTGAATAACATTTATCTTGGGGTAATACGGACACCCTCAATGGTAGAGAAGCCCACAACTCACATTATTTTCCACTATCTGACAACTCGCCGACGTACCCAGCTATTGACCAATTTGCTTGGTTACTGTTTAGGGAAACTTTCTGAAAGATAAACTCTATCTAGAGCATATATGGTGTGGTAGAGGAGATATCTAAGCGATTAACTCTACTTAGTTACATTTTATTATAAGCTATGATTTTTCTCTGATTTTATAACAACAAGATATTAGCCTTCAAATCATGTTTATTATAATAACAAATTTTCGATTGGACTCATAATACATAATAGAACCAAAAAATTTTATATTCTTTGAATAACGTTAAATTCCGATTTTTTTTTAAATTATCATCTCATATTTCTTTAATTTCATCCTTCGCTTAATTCAAAGTCTGATTCGAGTTTACAATTTGTACAAAGTCAATTTCGCATTTGCGAGCTTCATTGGCATCGCAGCTTCCAAATCCCTCAGCAACAAACACTTCTGCTCCATTCTCTCCTATCGGACAATACATTTTAAACGTTCCATAATGGTCAATATATTCGTGAAATTCACTGGATTGCACTTTAAGATATTCTTGTTCAGCATTACAAACGTATCCATCAACATGACAGGGTGGTTGAGTACAGTTGTATTGTAGCCCACAACTCACATTATTAAACACACCAAGGCTCGGATCTGTTATTAATTAAAAGAGAATATTTAACACTGTTTATGTTGAATGACCCTCAGAGTAGGCTGACTTATGAGACATGTTCCCCATGGATAGAATGCAGGCTGGAGAGTACCTGTTCCGTTCGGACTGGAAAGTAGGCTGAAAAGCACATGTTCCCTTCGGAGTAGAATGCAGGCTTGAGAGAACGTGTTCAGACTAAACAGTACATGTTCCGTTCGGACTGTAAATTAGGCTGAAGAGAGACCCTTGGGACTAAAAGTAGGATGCAGAGATAATGTGTCCCCTAGGACTAGTAAGAAGCTGGAGACAGATGTCCCGTACGGACTAGAAAGTAAGCTGAAGAGAACATGAAAGGAAAGCTGAAGGGAACACAATAGGAAGTATTACCGTTATACCCTTAGATATAACGCAGGCTGAGTTATACCCTTAGATATAACGCAGGCTGGATGTACATGTTCCATTCGGACTGGAAAGTAGGCTGAAAAGAACATGTCTCCTCTGGAATAGAATGCAGGCTGAAGACCGTTCAGACTTTAAAGTGGGATGGAGAGTTAATGTGTCCCCTTAATAAGGCCGAAGTGTTATGTCCCGTACGGACTAGAAAGTAAGCTGAAGAGAACAGTCTCTTTTGAATGTTCCGTTCGGACTGTAAAGTAGGCCGAAGAGACTAAAGTAGGACGGAAAGATAATGTGTCCCGTAAGACTAGTAAGAAGGTGAAGACTGATGTGCCGTACGGACTGGAAAGTAAGCTGAAGAGAACATGTCTTGTTTACAATAGAAAGTATTATGAAGGGGACTAGTTCTGTTCGGATTGAAAATACGGTGGAGAGAGAATATGCCCTTCGAGATAGAGAATAGAGGCTGGAGAGTACATGTTCCGTTCGTACTGGAAAGTTTTTGACAAACTTGGAGTTCCCCAGCGACCCATAATTAGACACTTGTTCATTTTAAAACTTACAAATATTGCAGTTAAATCCAGTCTGTGGCAAGTTTGCGTACTGTACAAGTCCAGAACAAGCCAAAAATGCAGTAATCATCACACCTACAAAGTGTGTCTTGCAACAGTGAAATTCTGGATCAGCAGTGACAGTTATTAATTTTCTCGATTTTCTGATTGAGGGCCCTTCAGGCTCTTCAACACACTCCGTTTCACACTTTTCCTTCCCCTTTAACTCTTTTTTATTTTTCTCCTTCTCGTTGTTGAACAACTTTTTTTCCTTTGCCTCCGTTAGACCGTTCAAGGCGCTAAATTTATTTTTAACTTCCACATTGTATCGAGCCTGCAATTTGTTTTTTGAAGGCTTTGACTCTTTCTTCTCCTTCCCAGGGGTTTCCTTGTTCTTGTTGCCTTGATCCTTTAACATTCTTCGATATCCATAGATTGGAGCATCTGGGTAGACTACCTTAGGAGCTTTAAAAGTTTCCGGAATGATTTGATGAGCATTAAAAGTCTGTTGGGGTTGAGCAACATTCAAAGGGTGAATTTCACCTTAAATATAAGCTTCGTTTATAGGGGACTTGAAGCCTCTCCCTAATTGACCGATTAGTCCCAGGAATTTTAAAGTTTAATGTAGGACCGGTGAAGTATCCACACCGCCTCCCTTCCACTTGACCCCTGCGGACATTTAGTTCCACGTCTTCTCATTGTCCTAACCACTTCCATTCTAGTACGCATAGTGCCGGCGAGTTCCTCAGGCCAAAAGTAGGACGTGTGTCCTTTTGCCTATTATCTGGGATGGGTTTCGGAGTTGCTACTATAAACAGATTCAACAATTTCCCCTCATCATCGAAAGAACCGAAGAAATTGTATGATGTCGCGGGCGGTTAGACGTGCGATTAACGAATAGAAGAGCTCCCAAATCAAGTCCCGCCCGATTTTCTGCCTATTTTCTAGGGTATAATTATCAAAAATTGCATTCTACCTTCAACAGCCCCACAATTTTTAATTAAAATTAAATTGAAAATAATGAATAAAATAAGCATCGGGAGGAAACTTGGTTGGGAATCAAGTCGGGAAAGGGAAATTTAAAAATTAAAAATGAAAAATTTTAATTAAATCAAGGAGTTTAAATAAAGGGATATGAGACGGAAATTGTCAAAAAATTATGAAAGCAGGGAAAATAAATATTTTTTAAAGAATGGCAGTGCTTGTTTATTTAAAAGGGCAACATTGTTAAAGTGCTTATTAAGAAATTTAATTTTTATTTTTGAAAAGTGCAAGTGTATTTTGAAAGGTAAAGAAATTATTTAGAAAAATATTTTTTCAGACATGCCGACAAAATTAAAATAATTTGTATTTGTCTGACACTGAGTGACTCTGAAAATTTGAGTGACACAGCATGACATAGTTTTCTATTGATGCCTTTCTTTTGAATTTTTTTGAAAAATTTTTAAAAATTAAAAAATTGTACATAAAATATCCACGTATCTTCTTTCAATTTTGTCTTAAATATTAGGATTGTCTTTCTTGGAAAATCTTTAGATATCCGGAATCGGAACCGGAAACTCTCCTAACCAAGTTCCGGTTCTATGGTTTGGTTCGGTCCAGAACCGATAACCCTTTTAAAGATCTTTAACTTTAATAAAAAAATTTTAATTGAGTAAAATAAGCTTATGACACAGCCTGACACTTAAAGGACCTCTAAAAATTTTTTAATTTTCGAAAAAATTTCACAAAATTTTTGAAGTTTGTAATAAATGGGATCATATGTCGGTAATTCTTCGGTTTGTATACCCTCCTCTTTGTGCCCCCCTTTTTTCCTTTACCATTTTTTCATTTTTCCTCCCCTCTCCCTTATTTTTCATGAGGCATGTATTAAAAAGGATTACGAGGGTACTTTTTCGTTATGCCACACCCCCTAAATTAATGCTCAAAATGTCGTTTATAGGTCCCTAAATATTGAGGAACCGCACAATTTTTTGTATCTCGGTCCAGAATCATTTCCTAAAATTGGGAATGGTATCGTTCGACTCAGCACCTTTTATTACCCTATATACGACATTTTCAGCATTAATTTTTTAATACTTGCCCTTTCCCTTTTAATACTTGCCTCATGAAAAATAAGGGAGAAAGGGGAGGAAAAATGAAAAAAATGGTAAGGAAAAAAGGGGGGGGGCACAAAGAAGAGGGTATACAAACCGAAGAATTACCCATATGTCATATAAATTTTTATTACTTTTTCTAATTTTTGAAAAATGTTGAAAGAATAGAAAATTTAAAAAGGAAAGAAAAATGAAACTTGAATGGCAACAGAAATAAAAATATTAATTAATTTTCTCTCAGTTAACAGTATACCCTTGAAAATAGACACACTCAAACGGCGCTGAAACGGCTTGGTTCAATTTCTTCCTTCAATTCTGTCTTTTTCTATGGCTCTACTATTTCGTTAATTACTTGGAAAATTTTTTTGGAATTTTTTTTGGAATTTTCTTAATTTTTATAAATTTTTTCAGTTAATTTTCTTCTGAAAAAAATGATTGATTGTCACTGCCATTTGGCTGATCCCTCTTTTAATGAAGATATTGGGCAAGTAATTGAACGGGCCAAGGAGGTTTTTTTTGAATTTTTTGAGATTGGATTTTTTTAAAATTTTATTTAAAAAATAATTTTTGAGGGGTTTAAGAATATTTTTTAAAATTTTTTAGAAATTAGGGAAAATTTTCTAAAGGCTATTTTTAATTTTCCCAGTAAGTGACATTTGATCCCAAATTAATTTTTGAGATTTTTTGGGATTTTTCTTGCTGTATTATTTTATATTTTTTAAAATAAATTTTTAAACGTCCTAAAATATTTTTAAAATTTTCTAGAATTTTTTAAAGACGTTTTTTATTTTTAACAATTAAGTGACATTTGGTCCCAAAATTAATATTTGTGCGTTTTTTGCGTCTTTTCGTGTCCTAAAAATATTTCTAAGCTTTTAAAAAATTAAAAGAAAATTTGCTAGAATTTTTAGAAACTTTTTAGAGTTATTTTTTTTTAATTTTCCTGTGAGGTGACATTTGATCCCAAAATTAATTTTCCCTAAATTTCTCATTTTTTTTTAATTTAAAGGCTGGTGTAGTGCAAGCCATCGTTGTAGCAGAGTATCCTACCGATTTTCCTCGTATTCTCCAACTAGCGAAACAATTTCCTGATTTTATTAAGCCTTGTTTGGGCGTTCATCCTGTTCAGGTTCTTTGAGATTTTTTTGAATTTTTCTCGAATTTATTGCTGACTATTTTTTTTAATTTTCTCGTATAATATCCTCTCAAAAGTAATTTGAAATTTTCTAAAAAAATTTTAAAACTTCCAAAAAATTTTTTTTAATTCGAAAAAAAATTTTTTTTGCTGACATTTGATCGGGACTAGGCCATTAGGGCGCGGGGCCATTCGGGCGCGAGCTTATAAAACAGTGAGTTGCTTATCAAAAAAGATGAAATTTTGCAATGTTAACTCTCATGCCTTTATCTACCTTCTCCAAAAATTTCAGAATTTTTGATCAAGAATTTCGGAAATTGTGGCCAAAAATGTTGATTTTCCGAAAAAACCCTAATTTTTCGCGGGTTATCGACTACAACTTTAGAAATATTCGATGAAAAATTCTGAAATTTCTGGAGGAGGTAGTCAATGATGTTAAAGAAATTTGAGAAAATTTTCATAAATTTCGGTCCCGCCAAAGTGTCAGTTTCTAGTGCTGGCGCCGCAATGGCTCCGCGCCTTTATGACCCCGCGCCTTTATGGCCCGGCGCCAAAACGACCCCAACCCATTTGATCCCATTTTTTTTAATTTTTAAAAATTCATTTTTCTCCTAATTTATTTCTTAATTTTAGAAAGGCTGGGTTTCAGTCACTCAACAGATTTATAAAGACACTCAAGTTGAAAAATCCATTAGGGACGCTTACGAAGCAAATTTACTGCATGGAATTGGGGAAGTTGGTCTCGATTTCACCCCAAGATATTTAACTAATGGAAGCGGAGATAAGGATGAACAACGAGCTGTTTTTGCTTCGCAAATTGAGCTGGCGAAGGAATTGGATTTGACTTTGTAGGGGGTTTCTGTTTAATTAAAAATTCTGATTTTTTAAATTCTGATTTTTGGTAATTCTGGTTTTATATTCTGATTTTTCCGTAATTCTGATTTTTTGAAATTCTGATTTTTCAAAATTCTGATTTTTGGTAATTCTGATTTTTCTAAATTCTGATTTTTTAATTCTGGTTTTCAAAATTCTGATTTTTTGAGATTCTGATTTTTGGTAATTCTGATTTTTGTAGTTATGATTTCAAAAATTCTGATTTTTGATAATTCTGATTTTAGATAATTCTGGTTTGAAAATTCTGATTTTTGTAATTCTGGTTTTTTAATTCTGATTTTTTGTAATTCTGATGTGTAAAATTCTGATTTTAAAAAGTTCTGATTTATAAAATTCTGATTTTTTAAATTCTGATATTTTATAATTTTGGTTTATGTAATTCTGATTTATCTAATTCCGATTTTTGAAATTCTGATGTTCAAAATTCTGATTTTTTAAATTCTGATTTTTGGAAATTCTGATTTTTGTAATTCTGATTTTGTTAAATTTTGATTATTGTTAATTCTGGTTTTTTGAATTCTGATTTTTCAAAATTCTGGTTTTTGTAATTCTGATTTTTTTTAATTCTGATTTTCTGAGATTCTGATTTTTAAAATTCTGATTTATTTTAATTCTGATTTTTTAATCAAAGAAACGTTCATTCTCGTTCTGCCGGAAAGCCCGTAATTGAACAATTACAATCCCTTGGAGCAAAAAATGTTCTTTTGCATGCATTTACAGGGAATATTAAAAGTGTTCGTTTGGGTGTGGCTGCTGATTTTCATTTTTCTTTGGCTCCAGCTTTTACTGTTAATAAAGAAAAGGTGCTTGAAATTTTAAATTGGGTCTGTGTTATAAGATATAGGGCTCGAAATGGTCAAAAAGGTTATTCGAGGGAGATGATACCCGACTCTTTGGGATAGAGCATATATTTCGGGCTTGGGCTTGGATACTAGAGATCGAGCTGGACCTGGACCAAAGCCTGTGTTTTTCCTGTACCCAGAGTCCAGGCATTTTTTGACCTTCCTGGATTTTTCCTGGACCTAGGTTTTTCCGGGACTACAAGCTCAGGATCCAGTCCAGGTCAATAAATCAACTCCAGAGTCAAGAACAGGTCCAGGCTTTTCAAAAATTTCGATCTCTACTAGATACCATGACTCTTAAAGGAGTAGACCTGTTTATTCCGGCTAAACGACACTGGCGGATTTGTCTTGCTGTATTTCCTCTAAAATAGCCCTAGCTGGCCATGTTTTGAGCAACGAAAAATATCTTAGAGTGGGGGTTATTTTAGATGGGGGAGGTGTGTACATACAGCCTAAAAGGGCACGCGGCCATAACGGCGCATGGCCATAAACTGCTGAAAATTTTCTGGCCCTTATCAATTTTAGTACTAATCTTTTTAGCTCGATGAGAGTAATTTTTTATTTTAAATATGGCAGGATTCGGAAATATTGAAGCATGGTATGGGTTTGCGCCGTTATGGTAGCACGCCCGTTTGGGCAGTGTCCCGGGGGAGGTATTTGAGTGAATATGGTATCTTTATTCTGAAAATTTTTAGGAGGAATTTGTGCGTACTGTCCCACTCGAACGTCTTTGCCTTGAAACAGACTCACCCGTTTTGGGCCCAAATAGAGAAGAACGAAATGAGCCTGCAAATGCTCGTTTGAGTGCTGAATTTATTGCGAAAATAAAAGGAATTGAAGTAGCTGAAGTGATAAGAGTTACAAGTGCAAATGCTCGAAGATTGTTTAAAATACCGCTGTGATCTTGAGAATTTTTGTATTTAATTTTTGTTGAATAAAGACTGCATAATTATAGATTCACAAAGAAATTTTTTGATTTTTTTCTGTTTTAGAGGTCCGATTAGATTGGGTGTCCACCCCAGAAGGTCAACTTAATATATTTGGGCGGATAAAGGTTATTCGAGATTAAAGATACGTTGGTCTCCTCTCTCTTGATTTGTCAGACAGTTGCACGAGGAAATTACCGTCTTTCATCCTTTAATCCTCCTTAATCCCTCCTAATCCATCCTAATCCGCACTAATACTTCTTTATCCGCATTAATTCTCAGATATCCTTACTAATCCGCACAAATACCCTTTATCCGCCCAAATATCTGAGGTTGACCTTCTGGGTCTGTTGACCTCTAGGGTGTTGACCTTCTGGGTTGTTAACCTTCTGGGTTGATCCCTGTAATGGAGTTTTATCAGAAACTCCTTTTAGATTTACTAGCATTATTATAGTAAGGTTACAACTGGGTCATAAAAGTAGGATGCATTATAGTGTAGGGTTGTCGGATCCGGATATCCGAAGATTTCCAATTATCCTACACCCCTACTATAGTGAGGTCTGGCTGTTCATATATTTTTAATAAAAGTAGCGGCGCAAAAGTCCCCCCGCGCAAAAGTCGCGGCGCAAAAGTCACGGAACCGTATCAAGCTTACAACAACCCTACTATAGTGAGGTCGGCTGTAATTCAATTTGTGTTACTTCCAAATTGGAACTTTGCCTTCTTCAGTTTCTCCAACCTCTTCTCTCTTGAAACAAATTAAAAATATTCTTCTCTTCCTTTATATTATTCTCTTCCCTCATCTTCTCTTCCTTTCAGCTTCCTTTGTTTAACCAAAAAAAGAAAAATAGAGTTAATGTTAGAGACAAAAAGAAAGAAATTGTAGAACTAAAAATAAATTGAAAGAAGAGAGAAAAGACGAGAGACTACTCCTTTTTCCTTTACAAACAGCGTTTTCTATAAACTGACATTTTTCTCTTTTAAATGTTTAATAGACTATGGGCATTTGACCCATCTATATTTACCTGGCTGGGGCGCTCATGCGATCAAGAAGGCATGGTGTCTGTGGTGAGACTTCCCCATTGCACTTGAGGGCGAGGTTGACCCGCAGGGCGGCTCCGAACTGGGGTAGGCCCACAGCTAAATTTTTGAGTGTGGGGGACAGCGTTCGCGCTTCCCCTTGAAATATGAATTGTCAATTTGAGAGTGATATTCATGTCAGAGGAAAGAAATAGGTGAAAGCGTTTTCAAACTGCCATTTTCTTCCTTGTAAGGCTTAACATTAATATTCTACTTGAAGATAGGACCTAGCTTGGATCATTTCTTCCTTGAAAGTTGATTGGGAACATTGAGAGTCGGTTTGAAGAGGTGAAGGCAATGGTAATATGTAGTTATGTAGGTTCACCTTACTTAGAAGCTCACCTTACCCTCGCTCATTTTACTTAGAAGAAGGTGAGCGATTCTGTCAGATGAGCGCCTTAAATTATACCCGGTTGGACTCCCTAGAAATGGATTGGAACATCTAAATGTTCTAGTCGCTACTCTGAATATCGGTTATATTAATCAAAGAAAAATATAAAATTTTAAAAAGTTTTATCAAAATCGGGGGAATATAAGCCGATTGATAAAAATGAATCTGAGGGTCAACAATATCAGATTCTTGTGTCTACAACTACATAGAATGAAAATAAAATGTACAAAAGATAAGTGAATATAAACAAGTTAAAAAACAGAACTGAGTTAAATTTTTGGGAATTTTTAGCAAAAATTTTTGTGGATTTTCAGAATTTGTGGGGTTTTCAGGCTAACATAGAAGCCACTGAAAAATATAAAAATACCGGAGGAATGATAAAATGGAATCTTGTGCAGGTACTTTTCCGTTATGACTTAACCCCCTAAATTAATGTTCAAATTGTCATATATAGGGTAGAAAAAGATGCTGAGTCGAACGGTACCACTCTTTTTTCACGGAGATGCCTGTGGACCGAGATATAGGGCTCGAAATGGTCAAAAACCATACGGGGGAGTAAGCTCAATTTTGGGGTGAAAAATTCCATTTTTCGAATGATAGCTCATCTGAAAGAGCCCCTCGAGCTGAGTCGAATTACACCAAAATCAGCTCGAAATCTTGATTTTGAGACTAGATGAACAAGGTTCCGGTTTCGGTTCCGGCCGGAACTAAGAAAATTTCCGGTTCCGGAATCCGGAACTCAAATTGGTTCAGGTTCCGGTCAAAATTTAGGTTTCGGTGAAACCCTAGCATTTAGGTACACACTCCATTTATTCGCAAGAGGGAATGAGTCTATAATATTTACGAAGCTAGCAAGTGTTAACTCCAACG